CTGATGTTAAGGATAATGAAAACAATCCCAGGGTTTTGTTGTTGTTGTTGTTTTAAACTGTGCTTAGAACAGGAAAAAGATGTAATGCTGACAAATGGCAAATAAAGTTTAACTACTTCAGTATTGCTTTGCTTTGTTTTGTTTTTAATAAAGAAAATGGCTCTCAAAGTGGGAGACAGAAAACATAACTAACCAGGGTCACATCTAGATCCTCCTCCTTGGTTCAACTTCCTAGTGTTTTACGACTAGCATTACAATTTTAAAGAACATAATATTTTATTAAAGAACAAGGAATTAATGTTGAAATAAGCAAAAGTCTTAGTAAGAGTTCAGCATAGTATGCTAGCTGATCCTAAGCCCACACCTCCATTTGAATTCATCCTAGACAGTGATGTGTTGTGAATGATGGTACGACCACAACTAGGGGTCAGCAAGGCACAAAAGAAAGTTAGAAAGTTTCTAAAAGATCACAGCTACTGAATTTTACAGTAATGGAGCAGCCTCATATGCCTAATGTTGGCTAATATTACCTATTCATACTTGGCATTGTGCTAAACCAGAGATCAGCAAACTGCGGCCACCCTGATCAAATTCAGCTCTGTACTTGTTTTTTTGCTACAAATGACCAAAAGATCAAGGCCATCCTGGGCTACATGAGAACCTGTGTGACTAGATAGCTTTGGTTGTCAGCTTGACACATCTGGGTAGAGGGAGCCTCAATTGGAGAATTGCCTACATTGGACTGGCCTGTGGCCATGTTGGTGGGGCATTTTCTTGATTATTGAGTGATGTAGGAGGGCCCAGTGCACCAGAGCACTGTGGGTGGTGCCATCCCTGGGTAGGTGGTTTGTGGTCACCGCCAGCGGCGGCCACTCCTCTATTCTTGTGGGTGCCGCTCCTTCGTTCTCACAGGCTTTGAGGCTTCTCCTCCACTTGCTGAGGCTGTTCTTCTGCCTGCCTTGGGCTGAGGCTGCTCTCTTGCTTGCCCTGTGCTGCCTCCTGTCATTGCTGTTTCTGCCCAGTCCCTGACTCTAGGGCTGGTGAGGAGACTGTCAGCGGAGCTGCATTCAGACACAGGAGGCCAGGTTCAGCGACACAGGTCTGGTTTATTGCAGGAAGGCACAAGCTTATATAGGGGTAGTGGTCCAATCACAGCACAGAAAATAGGCTACCTTATTAGCATAACAGGTTTAGCATCCTATCACAGTACAGCAAGTAGGATTCCTTATTAGCATAACAGACTTAACATCCTATCACAGAATAGCGGGTAGGATGCCTCATTAACATACTGGGTTTCAGATTACAGAGCCTGGATTCCTAGGAACCATGTGACCCTGACTGTTACAATATCTAAGTGTTGCAATTTTGAATTCCAAGGGTGGTGATTAGGGAGTGGCATGCTCTGGCTTTAGTCTCATGATCTGCCAATGGGAGCAAATGTCACAAGGCGTTTCTTGTGGCTCCAGCAGTCAGGCCGTTGCCTCAGGCCTGCTGTATGGCTGTCAATAAGACTTTCACCCTAGGCTCAAGCCTGTCTCCCACAGTGGTTCTGTGTCATATAAGAAAGCAGGTTGAAGTGTGGTGGCACACCCCTTTAATCCAAGAACTTGGGAGGCAGAGGCAGGTGGAACTCTGTGAGTTCAAGGCCAACCTGGTCCAAGTAGTAAGTTCCAGGTCAGGTGGGACTACAGGGAGACCCTGTCTCCAAAAGACCAAAAAAAAAAAAAAAGGCAGTGAGCAAACCAGTAAGCAGTGTTTCTCCATAGCCTGTGCTCCAGCTCCCGCCTCCAGGTTCCTGCCCTGAGTTCCTACCTTAGGCTTTCTGTTGAACTGTGATCAAGAAGATGTAAGACAAATAAACTTTTTCCTCCTCAAGTTGGTCAGAATAGTTTGTCACAGCAATGAAGAAATAAACTAGAACAACCTGTCTCAAACATCAATGACAAAAAGAGCTGGAGATAGAGCAATGTAGCACAGTGACAGAGCAGTTACCTACCACATGCGAGCCCCCTAGCTCCCCACTTCAATCCCTGGTACTGCCAAAAAACCCAAAATGAGATTCTTAGGGTTCCAATAGCAGCCCCCTCCCCCTCCCCAACAGGGACCTACAAACTCTGCTGAGAAGCAGCCTGCCTTTCCTCTGACCTCCAAAGATAAGCAGAGTTCCTCTTATCTTAAGAGGAAAAGAAGACACTTCCACACCCTAATCCTACCTGCTTCCCCCTCCCTGATTCCACACCCTAATCCTACCTGCTTCCCCCTCCCTGATTCCACACCCTAATCCTACCTGCTTCCCCCTCCCTGATTCCACACCCTAATCCTACCTGCTTCCCCCTCCCTGATTCCACACCCTAATCCTACCTGCTTCCCCCTCCCTGATTCCACACCCTAATCCTACCTGCTTCCCCCTCCCTGATTCCACACCCTAATCCTACCTGCTTCCCCCTCCCTGATTCCACACCCTAATCCTACCTGCTTCCCCCTCCCTGATTCCACACCCTAAAGCCCCCATATGTAAAGTCCCAGCTCACAACCCGTGGACATCTTTCCTGGACATCTTTCCTTCCCTGACATCCTTCCCTTCCTTCCCTTCCCCCTTCCCCCTTCCCTTCCCTTCTCTTCCCTTCCATCTTTCTCTTCGTGGACATCTTTCCCTTCCCGAGGGAAAGGTGCCCCGTGCGAAATAAATCTATGTCCCACTGAGAATTCCATCTGAGCCTCCGTGCCTCATCCATCCGCTCGTGCCTCCACCATCTGCGCCGCTTGCTCCCGCCCATTCTCTACCTATCAGAGATTAGGTTGAGAAACATCTAAACAAAATCAGTCCATGAAAGCCAAGCATGATGGCACGCACCTGCAGTCTCAGCACTCAGGAGACTGAAACAGGAAGATTTCAAGTTCAAGCCCAGGCCAGCCTGGACTACTCACCCTGTCTTGAGCACCTGCAATCTCAGTACTTGGGAGGTAGAGGTAGGAGGATCAGGAGTTTGAAGTTATCCTTAGCTACCTTGTGAGTTTAAGGATAGCCTGGGATATAAGAGACTATCTCATAAAAAGCAAACAGAAGAAAAAAAAAAGAGGAACCTGTCTTTAAAAAAACAAAAAAGAACAGTTCAAGGAGTATACTATTGTAAGGAAAATTAAACTTCAGTGTCTATAAATAAATTTATTAGTGCACAACCATATCCATTTGCTTACATATTGTTTATGGGAGTTTTTGTGAAACAATGAAAGAGCTGGGTTGTTGTGATAAAGCTTGTATGCCTTGAAAAGCCCAAAATATTTTAGTCTTTTCCAAAAATATCAACAACTCCTGAGCAAGATGCACACCTGACATTATCTCCAACCCACAGCAACTGTGACCGTTTATGTTTTACTTGGTCCTCTGTAGAACCAGTCCTTGGAAGGGGTCAGGAAAGACACTATTATCACAGTATCAAACTGAAGCCCAGAGCATTTGAGTGACTTGCTCAAAGTCACATAGCTTCCTTGGGAGTTAAGTTGGTCTTGTTTTCCCAAACCGTGTGTGTGCGCATGTGTGTGTGTGTGTGTGTGTACACATGTATGTGGAAGTCAGAGGTTGATGTTGATTTTGGGTGTCTTTCTTAAGCACTCTTCACCTTCTTTTTGTTGAGACAGGGTCTCTCACTGAAGTGGAGTTAGACTGGCTGTCCAGGAGCTGCAGAGAGCTGTCTTCCCCTCTCCAGCCCTGAAATTGCAGTGTCAAGGCTGCCATGCCTGGCTTTTTTGCATGGGTTCTGCAGGGTTGAAACAACACCAGGAGTAGTGCCTAAATACTTTAGAATATCTTTTTTCTTTCCCTCCCTTCTTTCCTCCTTCTCTCCGTCCTTTCTTTCTTTCTTCCTTTTTTTCTCTCTTTTTTCAATATTTTATTTATTATTTTTATTTTATGTATATGAATGTTTTGCCTGCATGTATGCAAGTGCATCCATGTCATGTAAAGCCTACAGAGGTCAGAAGAGGGTGTCGGATCCCACGGGGAACTGGAGCTACAGACGGTTGTCAGCCGCCTTATGGGTGCTGGGAATCAAATTCAGGTCCTCTAGAAGAACAGCAAGTGTTCTTAAACACTGAGCCATCTCTCCAGTACCTCTTTTTCTTTCTTTCTTCCTTCCTTTCTTTCTTTCCTTTTCTTTCTTTCTTCCTTCCTTCCTTCTCTTTTTCTTTCTTTATTCCTCTTTTTTTTGTCTACAATGATTTTTAATTCAGTCCATCACCAAGTTATGCCCACAGAAGGAAGCATCATCGCTGAATGGGTCTATGAAAATGTGGAAAATATTATAGAGACATGGAAATAGATAAACACAAGGTTATGGGAACTGGTTTTAATATGGATTTATATACACACATTCACATCCTTACACATACACATGTCAGTAACTCGTGATTCTTTTCATTATTTAGTTCCATTAATTCCCTTCTGGGCACAGATTCTTTTTAGCTATTATAGTATCCAAAGAACAAAAGAATTATACTGCTTGGGCCACGGGTGAAAACAGGTGCATTTGTGAACCTCTATTTCTCTTCTGAAAAGTGGCTTTGCTTGTTGGGACAGATGGGAATTCAGTTATTCACATCAAGTCTAACAGATAGCCTGAAGGGAGGCCCAGGGTTCAGACAGTCCAAGCAATTCTCACGAGAGGTGTCCTCAGAATAATTCTGAGGATCCTTGTTCTCAATTAAAATATTTTCTTCCAAGAACCACAAAGGTCAGAATTATGATATAGATGTCTATAATTTATGAAAGTGACCATTTTTTAAAAGCAGCAATTTGTTTAGGGAAAGGACAGGATACCATGTTGGGAGTGCACCTTAGCTCGGAGGCACTGTGGCCTGCAGAGGACCACAGGAGATGAGATGACAGAAGTTCCTCTAGGTATTTCTAAGGATCTGACTAATGGTACTCCATCCTGCACAGCTCCTCCTGGGACTGGCTTAAGTTAGGTGAAATCCTCTGTATGTTATCAGTGCATACCTGTCTATGATAGTTTTCTCTGTTTTTTACAAAGGCAATATATAGAAAATACAAATAAACCGATCACAACTGCTGTGGCCCCTAGTGCTGATCCCAAAACCAGGATTAGAGGTGCAATGAATAATTTTCCAGCACAGATTGACCCTTCCACTAATCTTTGCAAATGAGGTCTCTCTGGAAGGTAGTGATATTTGCATCCAAATATACTGAGGTTTGATGTGTGGTCTCTGAAAAAACAGAGCTGGCGATATCTCTCTCCACATCGGTAACAAAAATTAGTGTTACACTGTGAACACATCATGTGGTCACATCCTTCTGTTCTTTGGATATGGATCTTGCACTTTGGATACTTGTGGGCATTCCCCTGCCCATGCTCAATTTTGCTTGCCCAGTGACGTAATAATTTGTCTCCTTTTTTGTACTCCTTACAGTTAACACCTTCATGCCAAGGACAGTGGCACTTAAAACACCAGATGAACTGGCAAGTGGGGCACTGGATTTTGTATTTGCTTTCTGATCTGGAGGGGGTGGGAATATGTCCTTTTTTCTTAAAGGTTGTAAAGTGCTTGCACCGAGGACACGGCTTGGTGCTGGAGTCAATCCAGCCAAGTTCCAAGAAATACTTATACTGGATGGAGTCTCCATGGGTTAAATTGTAGAAAACAGTTGTTTCTTCTAGGAACTCAAAACACTCTGTGATAAGACATTTGATTTCTACTTGGCCAACCTGTACCTGGGCACTCGGGTAGATTTTCAGGCACTTCTCGCACACCACCTTCTTGCAGCAGGGCAGGGGCTTGATGGGGTTGTCTTCCAGGCACACCCGGCATGTCAGCACCATGAGTAGTGAAGAGGGATCTCCTACCCGACCCAGGCCAGAGTAGGGTGGTGCTCCTAACAGGCCCTGCTAGTAGAAAGTTTCCAGAGCCAGGTAGAACTCCAGCTGAGTTACTTAAAGGAGCATACTCAAGTTACTAGTGACTATTCCACTGGAGAAAATGTCTCTTTAACCCACAGCAAACATTCACTGCCAAAAGCAACTCAGTGAGTGGCAGGACCTCCTGAGTGCCTCCGCCCTCCATAAATGTTGACAGACCAGTCCTGTGCAGTTAATCACAGTTACTGACAGTTAAGAAATAGGATGCTTCTGATGTGCTGGAAGACCACATTGCTTGTGCTCCACTCCTTCCTCTGCCTCTTATATTCTCTTCCAAGATGTTCCTTGGAGGGAGTGATGTAGATGTCCTATTTAGGACTATGCATGTAACTACCACTTGTTCCCAGCACTTTAACCAGTTAATAACTTCAATTTGCAGTATCTTCAGTGGGAGTTTCTCTAAGCAGAGGGGGCAATAGTGGACCTTTCTGTTGTTTTTTCTTTGAGTTGTATTGTAGGTTATTGTTCTAGTTGTTCTTCATTGCTGTGACAAAACAGTCTGACCACTACCAACTTGGGGAGCAAAAGGGTTTATTCAGCTAACAACTCCCAGGTTGCAGTTCATCAGGGAGCCCAAGGTAGGAACTCAGGGCAGGAGCTGGAATACAGGCCATGGAGGAACGCTGCTTACTGGCTTGCTCCCCTGGCCCCTGCTCAGCCTGCTTTCTTATGCAACACAGGCCCACCTGCCCAGGGTGGCACCACCCACAGTGTGCTGGGCCCTCCCACATCACTCATCAAGAAGATGCCCCTCAGACATGGCCACAGGCCAGTCCAATAGAGGCAGTTCCCCAATTGAGGCTCCCTCAACCCAGGTGTGTCAAGTTGACACTAAAGCTATCCAGCACAGTTATAGATGCAAGTGTGTGGGTTTACTGGTTTTACTTTCTGATTCTAACTAGATAATCCTCTTAAAGTGACAAAGCAAACATAATCAAGAAAGTGGCAAGTCCCCTGCTTGTGAGTTGAGGGGCAATCCTCCCCAAACACTGAATTAAAAGCAGTTGATAAGCCAAGCTGTCTACCCATGTAGTGTCATTGATTTCCCTAGAAATACAACTAGCAATAATCCAAATATTGTGAGACAATTATCAATAAAAATAATTTTTCAACCAAAACATCTGGAGACTGTTGATGCTATATACAAAGTAAAGCTGAATACCTGGGCTGGGAGCCGGATCACTGAATTTGGTAAATACCAGGAACATTAAGATACTTAAATGTTTGCAACTCGTTTATGTGATTTGTACCTTTGCTTTGAAAATATTATAAACAGAACATGTAATATAGATATTACAAGTCACTCCCTGGAAGTCACATGCAGTCGTTGTGAGCCAGAGTTCACAGAGTAAGTCCTAGGGCCAGCAGCACCGAATACCTCCTGGAAATGTAGTTTCAGACCTCATCCTGCATCACCAAATGAACTGCTCAGGAGGCAGGGCTCTGCAGTCTATGAGTGAATAAGTTCTTTAGGTTATTGTGGGGTTTTTTCCCCCATCTGGGAACCACATATTGAGGTTGGAGATGTAGCTCAAGTGATAGAGGTTGCATGAGGTTGGGGGTTCAGCTCCAAGCAACACACACACACACACACACACACACACACACACGACATTTGAGAACCACATATAACTCAGTTCTAGAGCATAGAAATAAAAATAACTGGATCCATGAGTAAGTTTTCCTTCCTTCCTTTTCTTTTCTTTCTCTTTTTCTTTCTTTCTTTCTTTTTTTTTTTTTTTTTTTTTTTTTTTACAGGGTCTCACTATGTAGCCTTGGCTGACCTGGAACGCACTATGTAGACCACACTGGACCCCACCTGCCTCTGCCTGGGATTAAAGGTGAGTGCCAAGTTTAACATGAATCTTCTTAGGACCACAATATTGTAACCTTATTACTCAGCCAAGTCCAGAGACCAACAGTATCAGTATTCTAGGAGCTTATTAGAAATTCAGGGGCTGGAGAGATAGCTTGGCGGTTATGAACACTGGTTGTTCTTGCAGAAGACCCGGGTTTGAATCCTAGCACCCACATGGTAGCTAACAACTCTCTGTCACTCCAGTTCCAGGGGATCCGAAAGCCTCTTCTGTCTTCCATAGGCATTGCACGACATGGGTGCACTTACCTGCACACAGGCAATACACACATACACATAAAATAAAAATAATAAATATTTAAAAAAAGAAAAAAAGAAAGAAATTTAGAATCTACAGTCTGTGTCCCGATCTAATGGAATCAGAATGGGTATCTATCTTACCAAGGGTTCTAGGCAGTTCCTATGCATAACAACATTTGATAGACTTGGTTCTAGAAAACAACTTTGAAGATGTTTGATTGAGAATTAGTTTTCAAAATGATAGCTTGGCTTTTTTTTCTTTTGGACAAAGTTGTGTGTTGGTATGAGACAGCATCCATTAGGATTTTATTAGCTTCTGTAGTGCTGTTCTAATTTTTTATACCAAAGATAATTTGAAGGCTTCATTATATTCCAGAGGGCTTCTTTTCATCTTTGGCAATCAAACTATTTTCCTTTGAAGCACCCCTTCATCTTCCCTGTTTATTTTCCCTTAGTGGATGCTCCATAGGTCTAAAGCCTTGCTTGTCAACAATCTTTTTTATGACTCAATAGTTTTCCAACAATATGTTCATGGGCTTCATGAAATATACTTTGTTTTTTAAAAGCTCAGAATTTGTTTTCCAGGCAATTTCTATTACGGTGTGTGTATTTATATCAACACTCAGGGGCATCTTCCTGAGTTGACAGGATGGGTAGGAATGGAAGCCAGGGTGAAGTTGCAGCTGTTTGGGGGGAGCTGGATTTGCAAAGGTCATGTCATTAGTATGTTTGTGTTGTAGTGATGCTTTACTTTCTTCTTAACATCATAACTGAATGGTAGCTACAGTCTAAATATTAAGGGCAAATTTCTGTCTACAATGAGGCAATTTTTAGTCCTCTCTCTCTCTCTCTCTCTCTCTCTCTCTCTCTCTCTGTGTGTGTGTGTGTGTGTGTGTGTGTGTGTGCGCACATGCCTCTGAGTATGCACCCTTGTGGGGGCCAGAGGACAGTATCAGGTATCTTCCTCAGTCACTCTCCACCTTACTTTTTTTGTTTGTTTTTTGAAACAGGGTCTCCCTGTAGCCCAAATGGCCTGGAACTCACTATGTAGGCCAAGTTGTCCTCAATCTCACAGAGATCCACCTGCCTCTGCCTCCTGAATGCTGGCATTAAAGGCATGTGCCATCATGCCCACCTTACTTTTTGAGAACCTGTCCTTCTCTCACTGTACCTGGAGCCTGTCAATTCAGCTAGCCTGGCAGGCCAGTGAGCGCCAAGGATCCTTTTGTCTCTGTCCCTTTCCCTCCTCCCACTGCAGGTGCCCAAGCACCACCACACCTGGCTTCTATGTATTTGCTGGGGATTGAACTTGGGTCTTCAGGCCTGTGTAGCAAGCACTTTGCTGAGTTAGCCATCTCCCCAGCCCCTCTATTTCCAATTTTTGTGCTTATGTGTGTTTTCTAAACTTTCTAGAGTGAATGTTTACTATTTATGCAAACAGAAAACCTGCTGGTCAACAATTCTTAACATTGAGGTACAATTTGCATTCAATAAAATGTGCAGACATCTTAAGTATTTAGTTTGAAGTTTGGACAACTGCCATGACTTCAAGCAAGACATGAGATATTTCCATCATTCAGTTATTTTAACCCCTTTCAGCCAGAAGTTATCTGAATATAGCATTCCTTCTTAACATACACAATGTCTCTAAAGACTTTCTTGTCTTTAGAGTGTTTCTGGAGTGGCACATTACATGTGGATCAGCGAATATACATTTTCATCGGCTTCAAGTACTGAACTTAGGCAGAGAGGTAACTGAAACTGCATTCTGCACCTCTTTCCCAAACTCCGTGCCGGAATTTCTAGCTCATCCTACAAACAGAAAACAAGGGAAACATTTTCCTTTCATGATTTCCTCTCCCTCACAACCCTTTCTTTCTTTCTTTCTTTTTCCCTCTCTCTTTTCCCTTCTTAATTTGAAACAGTGCTGCCTGCAGAAGATTCTTTTAAAATGAAAACTTCACCCATCAAAAGCAGACAAAAGACTCCAAGCAGAGAAAAAAGCTGAGCCTTCTCATACCACACCCCCACCCACCCCACACCCACATCTGCCTCTCAGATGTCTTTCTCACTGCTCTGGTTTGTGGTCATGACAGAAATAGTAAAATAATAATAATAATAATAATAATAATAATAATAATGCTGACTAAAGATAATTAAGGGGCCAGGAGCATAGCTCAGTTGTAGAGCACTTGCCTACCACACACAAGCTTGTGGATTCAATCCCCAGCACTGCAAACAATAAAATAAAACAAAGCAAATTAAGTTTAAAGTACATAAAGTACTTTCATAAAGGTTTCTTCATTTTGTTGGCCTTCCATGCAAAACTTCAAGTTCTGTGAGAAAATATGAATACTCATTTATCCAGTTCATCCACTAATTCCTTTATTCATTCACACACAGCCCACATTTATATTTATAGAAACCATATGTTAGCCAAAATACTAGGCACCGAGTAACAATAACAAAAGAGGGTTAGTTCTTCGTAAAGCTTGCTGTCTGGTTGGGGAAACAGATGAGTGACTAGGCAATCATGATTCACTAGTTGCTGATTGATTATAGTGTGTATGAGTTTATCAACCGAAGTTAACTATACTAATGAGTAGAAGGAAGCAGCCTATCTCACAAATGGAAGGCATTAAATTACCACACAGATGCTCAATGGAATGTTTTATGACCATTAAAACTTCTTTGGGGGAGATCTATTTGAGAATCCAGTTATAACATAATTTAAACTGAATGTTTTATAGCGAGAAAAGAGTGAGAAAACAAGAATACTAACCAGAAG